CTAGGAAGGCCCGACTTCAGACAGCATCTTCTGCCTCCATCAGGAAGGACTTTGATGAGATGTGCGGAATCTCAGAGCTGCAAGGGGCCTTATTGATAAGTGAGGAGGAGAGTGTTAATGATTTCTTCAGAAGCCTGAATCCTGAGGCTCTGTATCTGTCTAAACCCACTGGGGCCTTAGCCTCCAGCCCCCAGTGTCACTTAAGGCTAGCAGTATGTAGGCATGGGGGAGGCAGTCTAGTGATAAGAGGGGCCAGTGGGTGAGGGGGAGTATCTATTCCCTCTCAGCCCAGGTAACTAGCTCCTCTACACCCCCAAACATCACTGGGTTGGCTGTTATTTCACTTCTCCCCAGAAGGCCCAATAGTCCTATTTCCAGACTTCTGTCTTCTAACTGAGCCTGAAGAAGCTGTCCCCAGGTCTGGGCCTCTTGCGGGCACTGCCAACCTCAGAGCAGCTCTGCAGTTTCCATCCTTGACAGGGACTCTTTCTTATAAGTGGTCATGTGCTAAGGGCATGGGACGTCAAAGGAGGCCCACACCCTGACATGCGGGGACCAGACCAGGGGCAGGGACTGGGTGGGTTCAGGCAGCAAGCTCTTCTACTTCTGTCTTCTCAAGAGGGTCTGAAGACATCTGTCCCCTCCCCCTACTCTCAGTTCAAGGTACTAGACCCAGCCATTCTATTTCTTTACTTCTCCAACTAAAACAAAATGCAGGGCAGCCCCCATAGCTCAGTCAGTAGGGCACTAACCACAGACACTGAGGCTGCTGGGTTTGAACCCAGCCCGGGCTTGCTAAACAACAGTGACAACTACAACAACAAAAAAATAGCTCGGTGTTGTGGCAGGTACCTGTAGTCCCAGCTACTTAGGAGGCTGAGGCAAGAGAATCGTTTAAGTCTAAGAATTTGAGGTTGCTATGAGCTGTGATGCCACAGCACTCTACCCAGGGTGACAGCTTGAGACTCTTATCTCAAAAAAACAAAACCAAAATGCACATTGCCTCCTCCTTCATCTCACCAGACCACTACACACACACAAACACACACACACACACCCCAAGTCATGCACACACATGTTCACACTTCAGTGGATGCACACCTCACATTCCCAAACTCACACAGAGGACAGGTTCCTTTTACAACAGGTCCCAGCTGCTCCTATCACAAACCGGTTCTCATGCTCTCAGATTCCTGAAGGTTTCAGGAAACAATCTCATTTGAGAGTTGCTGATGACTTTTTTCTTTCTCAGCCTACAGCAATTCTAGCCTTAGAGTCTTCTAGTCCTCTCTCTCTCATTCCACTCTGCAGATCCGAGGAGATGGGAAGTAAGGGGTGGAAAATAGAGAAAAGTCTCTGTGCTCTCCCTGTCCTAGCATCTGCCACCCACCATGTCATGCAGTCACAGAGAAAAGAAAGGTCAAAAGAATTCCTGAGCAATTTCTAAGCAGTCCACCCCTTTCTCCACCCTTCTGGAAAAATGGGGAGTAGGCTTAGAGGGAAGATCAGGCTTCAAGAGTGAGGACTCTGCCTCCTTCTAGTGTGGCCTGGATGGCGCAGAGGCAGTAACCAGCTGCCTATGGAGACACCTTTGCCTGCTGACACGGTTATGGTTTTCATTTCATATTTTGGAGGGAGGGGCTAGATGGAACAGTCCCCTCACTGTAAGAGTTGGCCACAGGAGCTGAGGGAAGCAGGAGGAGAGGAAACAGCCACATTAAAGAGGAAGAGAGGAGTGGGGGAAAGAGAGAGAGACACATATACCCAGACAGAGACCTGGAGAGACACTCTGAGACACAGAGACACTGTTTGTCACTGCATGAATGCTCTCAGCTACTGGGATGATGTTACATGGAAACTCTAAATACCTGACTTTATCAACTTTATCCCTAATGAGAGAAAACTACCAGGTAAACTGAATGGTCAGGCTGCTGGCTCTCCAGGAGCCAGCCCTGGGGACAAGTTCCCCTGGAGGCTAGGAGACCTTTTCATTCAGCTGTAACCTGAGCCCCGTGTAGGGATTAGCTCTTTTTAACCACTGCTGCCTCCCCTACCCCAACTTCCCCCCCTCCCCAACAAAGCAAAGCAAATTAATGCTTCTAAGTTAACAATTATCTTGGTTATCCAGTCTGTCTACTTTAAAATACACTGACAGGCGCTTGAAACACACTCAAAACCATGTGCCCTCATGATCCCTCCCTCCCAGCCACACAGTCTCACAGATATGGAAACATCAGTGTTCCTACTGAGCTACTCCATTGCAACAGACACCAGCTATGTCACCTGTGTGATGAACCACACACACACACACACACACACACACCCGCGCGCTCTCACTTACCTACTCTTACACTTAGAGCTCATCCTCTCCTCCCCCGACAACCATGGGAATCTCTGGTGAATCTACAGAGACCCAGATTTCCCCACAGGTATTGTAACTTATTTATTTATTTATTTTAGACACAGCCTCAAGCTGTTGCTCTGGGTAGAGTGCCATGGCATCACAGCTCACAGCAACCTCCAACTCCTGGGCTCAAGTGAGTCTCCTGCCTCCACCTCCCAAGTAGTTGGGATCACAGGCGCCCACCACAACTCCTGGCTATTTTTTGGTTGCAGCCATCATTGTTGTTGGGCCTGAGCTGGATTCGAACCCACCAGCTCAGGTGTAGGTGACTGGCACCTTAGCCGCTTGAGCCACCGTCCAGACTCAAAACCTTAATTCACAAAGGGGAAAAAACACCTAGCTGTCAGGGTATTGTAACTTCTTGGTTGAGATTCTTGCCAAAGGTATTTGTATTTTAAAGATCTGCTAATGCTTCATATAAAAGCATGTGGCATGAAAGTCACACTAGCATTGGTGATAATCAGGAGATATGTTTGGGGGCAAAAGAGGCCTCCCTGATTCCCACAGCACTCTGCCTGTGGGTCAGGCTGTAAGGCTGCCCTGCCTGGTCAGTATTTATCCTTCCTGCAGTATCTGCCTACAGATTTGGGTCCAGAGGCATTGCTCTAACCCAGCAAACCTGTTGTTAGGCAATCTCTGGCCAGGCTTTATGGATTTCCTGAACAGCAGGGTGAATTAGAGTCTTTCTATGCCAAGCTAGATTCAGGGATCAGAAGAAGGGAAGATGCCAAGCTAACTGCATCCTAGTCAGAGCAAGCATAGCCTGTGAATGAGATAAGCAGGCACAAAACTACTTGTAAGGTCCTTGAGGACAGGGGCCTCCACTCAGGCAGCAGTTCCCCCAGAAACCAGCAGGGTGTCTAATAAGCGGGAGCCTTGGAGGACCTTGGAGGTATCCTCACTCCAGACCCTGAACCATGGGCTGATGGCACTTGTCCCATAAAGTAGTCTCTATCCCTGAAGCCCCTTTGAATGCATTGCTTTTTCTTTTGCCTTCAGTCCCCCAGCCTCACTAGGCCACTACTGACACTGGCTCCAACTTGAAAGAAGCCCTTATCTTGTCTCTAGATTACTTCATGAAATCTGTTCCTTCCTTCAGACTAAACTCCCTAGCTAATTCCATGTTATGAGTAAGTCAGCAAGCACTACAAAAGCCAGCTTTGTTTATGAAAACACAAGCAAATCCACAGTGAGGAGAGGGGCTGCTCTCAGGCTGGGGGTGGCAATGGTGGTGGGCTATCTGGAAGCAGGAGACTAGAGAAAAGACAGTTTGGCCTTGGAAAGACTTGGGGGTGGGGTCTGATATTTGACAGGTGTGAGGGTCCCTAGTGTTTGGGTTCCGATCAAGGACAGGTTGGAGGGGGAAGAGGTTAATTCAAGAGGCAGTGTTTTGGGATAGGAGGGCATCGCTGATATCAAATCTTCCTTTTAACAGAATGGGAGGCCATCTAGTAGTACACAGAGCAGCTTAAGAGCCAAGTGCTTAGGCTCCAGGACACAGTGACCTGACTGCCAGACAGTCAGGCTTCCCCAACTCCCAAGTTCAACTTTCCTTCTGGCCCAGCCACCTTCTAACCCCAGCTGGCTTCAGGAGCCTCTGGGATAACAGGCAAGATCATATGCTCCTGGACAAACCTTGCCCAGAGGGATTTTCTTTTTGTCCATATAAATCTCTTGTCAGTGAGGACATGATGGGGGGGGGAGGGGTACAGCAAGAGGTCAAGGGGGGAGGGGAGGCTATCCCAAGAGAACTGTGGCACACAAGCCTGCAGCACAGTCTTGGGACCCAGTGAGCTGGGGGTCAGGGACTGAGGCCAGAGGCCTCCTTGTCTCTAATTCCTAGAGGGATCTGTCAGAGTTCCCCAGCCTGGAATTCTACTTTGTTATTTTAATGCAATTCTGACCTGGATTTAAATGGAATTGGAAACCCAAGGCCTTAATAAATAAATATTATGATAAGAAATGAAAGCCATGCAAGACGAAAGAAATTTTCCCCCAAAGAGGCAGAAACAAAACATTTATGCCAGGAGCCAAAGAAATTTTCTTCTCCAACCCCCTACCAGTGAGAGATGAGTTGGTTTTCCCATAAAATATTCTATTTTTCTTTAACATTTTTCCACTGATAAGACAGCAACTTTGAAATTTCTGCCTAACTTGGCATGTGGGCTAGGGGTGAGAGGGAGAAATAAATATATGGCATGGCTGAAAAGTTTTCATTCTCTCGGTGTCTCCAGGCCACAACTGAAGTTTCTGGCAGAGTTTAAGAGAGAGTCTCTTTTAAACTTTAGAGGACAAGGAGTTTAAAGATGCTGGGGGTGGGGCGGATGGATGAAGTCCGGTAGGATTCTGAGGTGCGTGGTCACTTCTGCCCAACGCCCCCCCACCCCAAAACTTCTCACTCATTCCTGCCGCCCCAGCTGTTCTAGCTCTTTCCTCGGAGCGCAGCGCCGGGCAGTCGGGTCCCTGGCCGGGAAGTCCAGGCGCTCAGGGCCGGGTCCTGACAGCAGCATGCTTTCCTGCCCCGCGTAAATCGCGCTCGGGCCCTTGGGCCCCGCAGCCCCGGCAGCACCACGGCCGCGCGCCCCTCCTTCCTTACCTTGCGCGGCTTTGCTGTGCTGGGCGGCGCGGGCGTGGACCAGCAGGACGAACAGGCAGAGCCCGGGCACGCGTCCCGAGCCCATGGCTGGAGCTACGGGCAGCCGGGGCCGCTCTCACAGCCCGGGGAGGGCGGAAGCCGGCCGGGTCCCCGCGCGGGAGGGGGAGGGGAGGGGGCGCCCAGCCGGGGCCGGACCGGGGGCTGCAGGCGCGGGGCACAGACCGCGGCGCCCAGGGCTGGAGGCTCCCGATGCTGCCGGCTCCTCCTAGCTGGACGTCGGGGAGAGCTAGGCGGAAAGCTCGACTAGGCGAGGGGCACCCGGCGCTACTGACGGAGGGGAACCCCCGCCCCCTCCAAGCTGGGCTCTGCTAGCGGCGGCGGCTGGGCTGCTCCGTACAATCCCACCCAATTCCCAGCCTCGCCCGGAGAAAGCTGCAGCCGGAGAGCGCGCAGAGCCCGAGCGAGAGACCTGAGAAAGGGGAGGGGAAAAGCAGGGCCAGAAACACGCCCTTTCTGCTTCTCTTTCTTCCTCTCTCGCTCTTTCTCCGTCTCTCAGGCTCCGTCTCTTTTTCTTCGCCTTTCTCCTCCTCCTCCTCTTTCTCCTCCTCTCCTCGCTCCTTTTCGTTTCTTCCTCCTCCCACTCCTCCTCCTCCACTACCTCCTTTTTCGTGCCCTTTTTTCTTTCAAATGGGGCCTCGGCGCGGCGGCCGCTCCCCCTGCGCGCCCGGGCGCTGCGGCCCCCTCCCCAGGCTGCCGGGCCGCTGCCTGCAGGAATTTACAATCCGGCGCTGGGGGAGCGGGCCCGGTCTCCATGGAGACGGCTTCCCCGGGAGCAGGGAGGTCAGGCGCAGAGCTCTCACAATCAATGGATCAATGCGAGCCCCGCTCGGCTCCAGACCAAACAGCATCGGGCTCCGGCTCGTCCTCTCTTCCTGAGGAAAGAGTAGGGGAGCGAGTGTGCGTCTCCCGCTCGCACGCGAGGACGGCTGTGCGGCGCAGGTTTGCACGCATACCTCCTCCTGGAGACAAAGGGGGCGCGAGATGTCAGGAGGCTGGAATAGATGTGGATACATGGGCACTTGGGTGCGTTCACCGACACGCGGAACATAGGACCTTGAAACATAGAGTGGCCCCGTTGCCGGGCCAAGTGACGTCCCCCCAACTCTTACCCGCTCACCCTCGTCCCTCTCCTCATCCTTAGGACTCAGGGTCTGAATCCACGTTAACTGAGATTAAGAAGAAAGTAGGTTACTTAGTACCTCTGCTAAAACTGCCAGCTCCAAGGGAAACCCCCTTGCAGTGAGGGGTCTTAGCGGTAAACTCACTAAACCACCCTACCTGTATAGACGCGGACATGTACTCACACTCTCATGTGTGAGTGTGTCAATACAAAGACAGAGACAGGTACAACATGCTCCTCTAAACCCGTACTCAGCTTCAAGAGGTGGTCCTGACTGGGTCTCAGCCCTTCATTCCTTTAACTTCAGGGGCATTAGAAGTAAGACTGCAGGTATTTTTAAAATTAGAGGCAACCTGGGCAGAAGAAGCAGTGTTCCCCACCCACGATGGACACTATCTTCTAATCTACTCGCCCGTCTGCATCTTCTCTCCACAGCAAGGAAAAGAGAAAAGATATCTTGAAAGGCAGTGAGGGTTTCTTGGAGTGTGGGGCTGTGGTCAAAATGAGACCGTACTGGGACCCAGATGCTTCTCATGCTTCACAGCCTGTGTGCTACAGGGAAGAGGCCACTGGGACCCCAGGTTATCCAGGGGGAATGGGTGATGACCAAAATCTCTAAGATGACTTGGTTCTCAGACCATTGACACTGGCCACCTACATCAATTGGGGTGAGGGGTGCTTGGTCAGCACCCTCTCTCCCCTCTCTTCCAGCAGAAGAGCTGAACCCTTCCTTCCCTAGGGATGGAGTGGAAAAGCAAGAGGATGGAAACATACCACTTAGGCATTTGGGTTTATGGTCTTAGCTCTGTCTTAGGACGAAGACTACTTTTGGGCAAGTCATATCTCAGTGGGTCTCAAGTTTCTTCATCTAGAAGACAAGAGGTGGCATTTGCTCTGAGGTGGTTGCATGAGGGATGATGGCAGATCCTAGGATCTGCAAAAAGTTGGGTCAGATGATCTCCGAGGTCCCTTCCAGCCTGTTACTCTAAGACTCCCCCCTCTTTCATTCCACCCCCAAACCCCTCCCCTTGCAGCAGCTTTGCCTGCTGCTACCAATTACGTGTAGGGCTGGAGGACAAGTGCAAACTTGCCATCCTCTTTGCTCCAAACAAGAGAGTGGTTAAAAGAAAGAATTGGAGGTTTCCAGACGGTGCCTGTGATCTACATGGGGGCACAGGGAGAGAGCAGAGAAGCTCCCCATGGCTGGGAGGGGAATTTGCACTCTGCCTTGGTTTGCTCCATCTCTGGCTTCCTTGGACACTAGTGTGAGCACCTCTAGATCCCTGTGGGGGGATCAGGGGAGTTGCTCCAGCCCACCCCCTACTCCACAGGAGAGGTGGGCATGGAGGTTTCTATAGGGGCAAAGTAGGGTTATTTGGGACCTTCTCTCCATTTCACTCTGATTACCTAGTCCCCTGAATATGGGCATTGCCCTGGGTTTCAGGGTCAGATGAATTGCCCCACCTAAGCCACTATGTCTCTTGAAGACCCACTAGGGGTCTTTTACCCTAGTTTCCTTTTATTTCATCCCAACAGTTTTCCTCTTATTGTTTCCTTTTTTTCCTCCAGGATGAGGTGAGCTCCTCTTCCACAACTGGGCAGAAGAGGCAATTTCCTGCTCTTCTCCCCTCACCCCCATCTGGGTCAAGCCCACCCTCAGCCCTTCAGAGGAGTCTATAGGAGTAGAAGCAGGGCTCATATCACTGGGTACTGTGAATTTGGGCGCTGGTCACATTGCCCTCTGCCCCTCCCACTTCTGCAGGAACTTAGTTATGCAGTAATTCAGGTAGATGACAAGGAAGGAATGGTGAGTGGCAGCATGTGCCATATTATGTCATAACTAGCAGTGTCTCTGGACCTCCCATATTCACCACTCAGGCTGTAGCTTGCTCCACTTTCCTTCAGGGATGCTTCCAACATTCATTTCACTTTAAAATCTCCTGCAGATGTTTGGGGAAAGGCGGGGTGGGCCCATCGCTGATAGATCTGGGTTTAGGTCCTGCTTAGGGATACTTCTTCCAAGGCCCCACCACACTCAAGGACTTCCCTTTTCTTGCAAAATTTCCTTCTCTAGCTTTGATTTTTCTCGCTGCTCCTCAGCTTTCCAGTATGTAAAACAAATCCAATGACCCTACCTTGACAGGCAAAGAGTAATTGAGTGCATGTACCAGCTGAAACAAAATGGCCCTGAGGTCAATACCAGGCCCTACCATTGCCCAGCCATCTGTCTACTCTTGGTGAGTTATTTCACTTTGTGAGCCTCAGCTTCCTCATCTGGAAAATGGGTATGGTCATACAACATCAATGTCTAATGATATAGGCTCTATCTACTTGAACAAACCTGTGGTTTACATCTCAACTCTGTAACTTTCTACATGTGTGACTTTAGGCAAGTTACTCAATCTCAGTGAACTTCATTTTCCTCATCTGACAAAGTGGATAAAAACCTCACCGGTTGTGGTGTTAGTTAAATGAGATAATGTACACTTAGCACATAGTAGGCATTCAGTGGGGGAGGCTATTGTTGTTATTTGCATTACTTCACAGAAAGAGCAAAAACCACAGTTTTGACAGTAAAGGTGCAGCAGCCTTGCCCCAAATCAGGCATTGATGCCTCTGGGTATCTATGTATCGACTGGGGGTCAATTCTTTTTTTTTTTTTTTTTTTTTTGA